TCTTTGGGGAAAATGAGTTCTTTCAAATGTTGACATTGGAATTTAATAAAGGCCCCTGCAGGTACTTTATGTGGAATTAGTAAAAATGTCAAAATTTACTGGAACAGCAAACATCAAATGCTGGCGAGGTTGCGGAGAAACGAGAACCCTTATTCAATGATGGTGGGAGTGTAAAATGGTGCAGCCACTGTGGAAGGCTTTATGGTGTTTTCTCAAAAAGTTGCAAATAGAAATACCATTTAACCCAGCAGTTCCACTACTGGGAATATACCCTAAAGATACCATAACCACCACCCAAGCAGATATATGCACACCCATGTTTATTGTGGCTTTGTTCACAATAGCAAAGAGTTGGAAACAACCTAAGTGCCCATCAACAAATGAATGGATAGAGAAGCTGTGGTATGTTCACACAATGGAATACTACACTGCATTGAAAAACAAGGAACTCATGCAATATTATTCAAAATGGGTGACCCTGGAGGACATTATGCAGAGTGAAATATCAGTCATAAAAGGACAAATATTGTATAGTGCCCCTGTTGTAAAATGGGACTGACATCAGGGTTGAGGGGAGACTAAGATGGGATAAATTATGTAGACTTCACTCAAACAGATGGGAGAACTGTTTAAAAGGGATATATGATTAGGTATTATTGTCATGACGGGAGTTCAGAATGAAGGCTGCATAGTGGAGTGGACTTTGGGATTTTATAACAATGAAATAATTTTTCTTTTACTTTTCAAGGAGAAGAGCAAATTGGAGGGAGGAGTGGGCAGGGAAAAAAGTGCAACAATGAATGAATGGAAATCCAAAGTCTCTGTAAACTTTCATGAAAATTAATTTAAAAAAAAAAGAAAACAAAAACCCACCACTCAATAAACACCAGCCCATAGCTGACGCTCTGGCAGGTTTTCCAAGGCTGTAAATCACACTGGAGAAAATTGCCTTCCTTTCTCCCTCAGTGTTGCTGGTGGATTTGAGAGGAACAGACTCTGGGGTAGCAGATTGCACCACCAGAACTCGCTGTGCCCCTGTTTAAATTGGTTCACTTCTTATGGGGTGGAAAGAGCTGAACATTATATTATTCTTCAATATAATTGTAGGAGTTTCTCTTTAAGGTGTATATGGTTTTTTAAAATGTTGGTATCTTTAATGTGGTGATATCTTCAACACAGCAAGTACTTTTTCATTCAGGTGACCAAATTGTTTTTAGGTACACACACAAGGAGACACAAACAATACATTTTGTTTGTATACACACACATACACACACATATTCATATTTTCGCTGTTTGACAGAACACTGACATGTTTTTGTCCTAACAGTTTGCTGTAAACATAATATGCTTGTTCTTAGATGTGATTAATTAGAGGAAATGACAGTCTTGAGAGAGAACAGTGTATAATGCAATCACATCCAAGTCTCCCAAACTAGAAGTAAATTTAGGCAAAAGTCCCCATGGTCAACTTGAAAGCAAGTTGTGGCATGAAATAGTTTTACACATTATGTGAAAATTTAATCAAGTGATGCGTGTGTGTGTGTGTGAGAGAGAGAGAGAGACAGACAGACACACTGCATAGCTTAGGAATAGGAATATTCATTTTAAAAGCTAAGCAAACTAAGAAATCCATGAGATTCTTAGAGACACCAAATCATATCAAATGCATGGATTAAAAAAATGTGGTTTTCATGAGATTATTGGATGCCTATATAGTCATTTGGTAGAATGAATCCACTGAAAGTCATTTAAGCCTCAAAAATATACATGGGTATTTCATGTGTTTAGGAAATCATTAGCTTACCCTTTAACCTTGAGTAGTTATTGAACATAATTGATACCATCTGTCAGTTAAAACCTAGAAGACTCTCCTTAAAGCATGTGAAGAAGGAACTTGGGTTCTAAATGTGTCTGTTTCCTGTGTTTGCCATGGTGCCGAGCGGCGGCGTCGGATCTGAGAGGACAGGAGTGTTTGGAATCTGCAGTCATGGTCCTCTAACGGCTGAGCTTTAGGACGAAGCTTCTGTGCCTGAGAGGTGGGTTTCTAAGTTGTGTGCTGTTTGAAGGACTCTTACATTTAACTGTATGCATGCTGGATATCGGAGTGCTGCAAGAGTCCAAGAGCCACCCTACAAATACAGTGACCACTTCTGCCAGCCCAGCAATGTGACTCAGGAATTCTGTGTTAACTTTGGCCCAGAGCTTGTCTGACCTTGTGTTGTGGGTTTTGTTCAAGTTTTGTTTTCTTTTTACCTAGTAATTTACATGTTGAGAATTTGGAACTTAGTCCATTTTAATTTAACATGTGGTAAAATATGGTTAGTTAATTAATCATCTAAGATAATTTCAGGATACATATACGTATGTGTGTTTTATATATATGTGAACAACTGGAACAGTACGTTGACAGAGAACTACCAGAAATGCAAGCTGGGTTTATAGGAGGTTGTGGCACTGGAGACATTTATTTCTAATGTCAGATGGATCTTGGCAGAAAGCAAAGAGTACCAGAGGGATATCTGTGTTTCATTGACTATGCAAAAGCATTTGATTGTCCTAACCTTGGGGAGAGTGGGAATCCCAGAGCACTTGATCATGCTTATGCAAAACCTATAGTTGGACCTCAGAGCAAGAAAACACTGCATGGTTCAAAATCAGGAAAAGAGTGCATCAGGGATGTGTCACGCTTCCATATCTTTTCAATCTGTATGCAGAATAGGTCATTCATCAGGCTGGACTTTATGAGGAATATGACATCAGAATTGGAGGAAGATTCAACAGCCTACATTAGGCAGATGATACAACCTTGTTTGCAGAAACTGAGGACGCCATGAGGTGTATGCTGCAGAAGGTCAAGGACTGTAATCTTCGATATGGATTCAAGTTCAGCATCAAGAAGACAAAGATTCTCACCACTGGGCCAATTGGCAGCATCAGTATGGGTGGTTAAGAGATTGAGATGGTTAACAGTTTTAGTTTGCTTGGCTCCACAGTCAGCACTCTTGGCATCTGCAGTTGGGGAATCAAAAGATGAATTGCACTGGGAGAATATGCTGTCAGGGACCTCGCCAGAGTACTGAGAAACGATGTCAGTCTACAGACTAAGGGAGCGCCTGATTCCAGCCATGGTCTTTGAAATTACTTGCTATGCATCAGAGATCTGGACAGTGATTAAAGATGACAGAAGAAGAATCGATGCCTGTGAGTTGTGGTACTGGACGAGTCTTGCACATACCATGGACCACCAAGAAAATAAATAGGGTTGTCTTGGAGAGGGTGACACCAAATTTCTCCTTGGAGACTAGGATTCTGAAGCTCCATCTCACATACTTTGGGCAAGTGGCCAGGAAAGACTGGTCCTTGGAGAAGAAGGATATCATACTTGGAAGGGTGAAGGGTCAGCACAGGAAAGGAAGACTCTGGATGAGATGAACTGATACAGTAACTGGGACGATGGGGTAGGTGTGTCAGAATCATTGAGACTGGCTCAGGACAGGGCAGGCTTCAGAGCTGTTGTACATGGAGTTACTATGAATTGCAGGTGACTCGATGGCACATAACAACATACTTAGACTATAGTACCTGTACACATGGATTGTATATATGTACTTAAGGTGTGGGACTAATAAGGATGCCTTTGAAATATGGAATAGTCATATTGTTGCTTTATGATGTCTGATCCGCTTTGACTCAGGACAGTTGTACGTCAACAGAATGAAGTGCCATGTGGCCCTGTGCCACCTTAATGACCACAGCCGTGTTGGGTACATTGTTGCAGTGCCTTCCAACCCAGGTGGCTCATCCTTCAGCATCAGATATTCTGATGGGCTCCGTGGTTTTCATTGCTTGTGTTTTGGAAATCAGTCACCAGTCCTTGACTCCAGGGTGCCTCCAGGTGGACTTGAACCACCTAATTTTGGTCAGCAGTGGATACAGTGTTTCCAGCTCCCACTCCTCAGAGACTTGAGTGGGACTCTGTAGGTTGTGACAAGGAAGTGGCATCTTATCAGCGGTGGGTGTTCAGTGCAGGCTTACTGTGAATAGGGTGAATCAACTTAATTGTGTTTTCCAAAATGTCACACTGGCTGAGTGGGGGTGGGGGAGGGGGAGACAACAGCAGATGTGAAAGAGGCTGAATTAGAAGGGCATTGTGGTCATGTGGGTGAGGCATGGCTGTGATTTCAACCATGGTGGGAATTTCTAATGGAGAGAAGAGATGATGGAGATAGAAACATGAGCGAGAGCTCTCACTTTCTGGCATGAACATTTGGGGAACTGAAGGAATCCTTTATAAAGAGATTAAAGGAGTTGTTGTTAGAAGGACGGTGTTTTTTTTAAAAAAAAGTCCCAGGAGTATGTGGCTAAAAGAAAGGGGAACAATACTAGCCAGGCACTCCCAGGCTGTCCATGCCTTCTAACAGAGATGATGCATCTTCTAGGCAGATCTCTTCTGCTTGGAGGTCTCAGAAGGTTCTTATGCTGAATGAAATATCTCAGTCACAAAAGGACAAATACTGCATAGTGCCACTGTAGAATGGGACTTGACATCAGGGTTGGAGTGAGACTGAGAAAAATTGGATAAATTATGTATACTGCATTGAAACAGATGAGGGAGAGAACAGTTTAATAGCAATATATGATTGGGTATTACCATTATGACAAGAGTCCAGAATGAAGGTTGCATAATGGAGCGTACTCGGGACAGGGGGATGGGGGGACACTATATATCAATGAAGGAATTTTTCTTCTCCTTTTCAAAGAGAAGAGCAAACTGGGGGGTGGGAGAGGGGTGGGACAGGGAGAAAAATGCAACAATGAATGAGTGGAAATCTAAAATCTCTGTAAATGTTCATTCAAAGTAATTTAAAAAAATTATAAAATAAAAATATAAAAGGAAGCGCGTTTTTCCCCATCACAGGCCACTGAGAGTGTAGTCTGATAGCTGACAAGTCAAAAGCAAACTGTCTTTCCACTGACTTTGCTGATTTCTCTTGCAGAAGCATCCAGATTTCTTGAATGTCCGGATCCAACTGGAAGACGAAGAACTGATCATAAATCTGGAAAGAAATGAGTAAGTCGAGCTCCTTGTTTACTGTATGGGGGAAAGGTGAAGACAGTGTGGTCTGAAAACTGTTGTGTCCTTGAAGTTGGCTTTGTGAGAAGCAGAATAGAGCATTTTGCGTCGTAATTCGAGTCTGGAATTAACATCAGAAAATTATCCAATGGAAAAAACAAAGGATTTTATCACGTTCAGAAAGAACTCTTAACTCAGCAGATTTTGCTTGTGGTTCTAAAGTTTCTTCTTTTTCTTTTTTCCCCCGAGACTGACTTTTCAAGGATAGAAATATAGCATTTCCTGTTCTTCCCCAATATCAGTGTCCCGTGATAAGTTGACTTTTGGCAATTCCTGGGTTTATAGAAGGAGGAACAGTTCCAAATACATAGAAACTCTTATTCTGACAAATTCCAAGAGTTTATCTTTCAAAGCAAGTCTCCTCATTACTATAAACTGCTTATTTTCTCTCTGTGTTTTAAAATGTGAATTTTTAAAAGTCTTTTTGCAAAATTACCTAAATTTCCAGAAAAGAGTACTCCCCTCCTTCTCCCAGAGCACATGGATATTAGGGCATATTTCCTTTGCAGTACAAAACCATGACTGCCTCACAGTGTAGGTAAAAATAGCCCATGTCCTCCTTGGCCTCCCACTTGCTGGCCATTCTGAGGCACTTTTCAGGTCTAAGGGTCCCTGTCATAATGGATTTGATTTGTGCCCGACGAGTCATGGAGTTCTAACCAGTAATCTGTACGTAAAGCTGTGATTCAATTTCCTATAGCATGCTTGGGCTAAGATAGGTGCTGCCTCCTCTGAGAAGCATGGCTTCCTATTCCTTCACCCGCACTAAAATGCTGAGTTTTGCTGAAATACGGGTGTAGAGTGAGCCAGACATGCTGGAATGACTTCCTCCCAGGGCCGTGGAGGCATAAATTCTGACTCAGCGTCTCCAGGCACACCAGTCTGGTCTTTCCCTTGCACTGATGTTTTGATTTAGGAAAGGGGCAAATCCAACTGATTCAGACCGTCGGCAGCCAATCCTAACATTCAGCATTACCTCCATGTAATGTGACCAGAACATGCATGTGCCAAACCCCAGAGCCTCGCCCTGGGACCTGGAGCTTCTCCCCTGGTACTTCTCACAGCCCCCCTCCTCATGACCAGCAGAAGTTTTACAAACACCACATGATTTGGTTTTCATTTTCATTGTGTCTCCATCTTAAAATAGAGATTCAGGCACATGGGTGGGAAATCAGCAATCTAAACAGAAGCCTGTGTAGTGCTTTTGACTTCTCTCTCTCACATTCACTGCCGTTATTATATTGATGCCAATGCAAAGCGGCCCTCCACTGAGCTTTGGAGGCTGTCTTTACAGGAGGTCTTTTCAGTTAGCAAAGATTGTAACTTCCTTGCTTTTATTATAAAGGGAATATGTGTCTAATGCAAAAAATAGAATACTGAAAGGGGAAAAATAATAAGAACAACAACAGAAAGTATCTTGATTACCAAAGACAGCCTTGGTGAACGTGTTGAATTTTTAGATTGATTTTTTTTCTTACGCAAAGTGCTTTGTTTCTCGTCTCTTTAATTTGCATCATTATTTGTGTATGATTTTATATTCTACTTTCTTAGCTAACTTTATAACGCGTGTACTAGAGGGTGAAACCAGGCTGCTCTGTGGAGGCAAGGATTCTGAAGCTTCGCCTTGTCAGACTTTGGGCGTGTTGCAAGGAGGGACCAGTCCTTGGAGAGGGACGTCATGCTTGGGAAGGTGGAAGGATAGTGCAGGAGAGGAAGGCCTTCGATGAGCTGGATTGACTCAGTGACTGGGGTAGTGGGGGTAGGTGTGTTGGAGACAAGTAAGGTTGGCTCAGGATACAGCAAGGTTTAGAGCTGTTGTACAGAGGGGTTGCCATGAGTCGCAGGCAACTTGACAGCACATAACTATTCCGTATAGAAATGCCTTCCTCAGAGTCATTCTATAAACATAAACTCTGTGTGTGTCTCCCTGTGAACATCACTACAGATAGTACAGTACACATTGCCTGCAAGATAATGACCATTTCTATAAAATATCATTTTCTTTTTTTAAGTGCTAAAAGCACAAATATTTTGGTATGTTTATTTCCTTTATCATAGGTGGGTAGAAAATACAGTATCAGTGTAGATCCTTTGTATAAAAGATACATTTTTAGATGGAATCCATGGGTAGTATAAATGGTTAAGGTGCTGATTAAAGGCTTGAAGGCCAAGTCCATCCAGGGGCACTTTGTCAGAAAGGCCTGGTGAACTACTTTTGAAAAATTAGCCATTGAAAACTTTATGGCCTATAATTCCAGTCTGACAGAAGTGGGTCACCATGCATCAAAAGACAACTGGTGAAATAGCATTTTAAAAACTACCTTCATTCACTCACTTTTCATTCTGAACCTTATATAATTTCAAAATTAGCAAAGCTGAAAATAGACCCAGCTCGATTTATTTTCCCCAATTTTGCTGCTAACTTACATTTTAGAAAATATAGGGAAGGTGTTTAATATATTTCAGTGAGATTCTATAGTTGTATTTTTATCACACTATTAGTATCAATTTAAGAGATTCTGTTATATCCATAATTCTGTTATATACATTTTCATAGTAAGAGCCTCCCAAGGCAACTATTTTCATAAGTTTTTCTCCAAAATACTTAGTGTAACACCTTTTTGACAAAGGTTACATGTTTATTCCACACTGACTTTTCTTTTTGAGACAATGAAGACCAAAAATCTACAATTTTATAAATAGAAGGAAATGCTTATATGCAGCTAGCTTTTAATGCTAAAGATGCAAAAAGTGACATTTCCCACTAGCATTTTTAATTTGCATTTTCTTTGGACCGATGTATCTAAATGAGGCTATGAGAAACTAAAGATGAAAGTTCAGCCTAAAAGTACATTTGTACAAATTGATTAAATTGTGCCTTGACTATGAAGCAGAAAACTGCAGAGATTAATAATGTAGATCTTTCTTTCATGTGAAGATGTTAGTAATATAAAGTGCGTGCTTGCAAATAGATTCCATGGTATTAATTTTATTTTTAAGTTGCACATGGATAATTTTTTCTGAGTAGTAAGAAAAACAATTTTTATTTTATAGACTTTTTATATTGGAAATAAAGCCTTTGTTTTGAAGGGGGAGGAAACCTTTATAATGGCTGAAAAATTTGAATTATTACTAATAAATGATGTATTTTATATGTTTTCACTTTGAAAGCACTCAACATTTCTAACAATTGACTGTTGCTTAAGCGTCCAGAAAGCCTTGCAGCAGTGCCGCGGGAGGGGCCTTCTGTGGCTCCTGTTTGTGCTTTAGTGACTGTGCAGAGGCATTTGACTATGTGGATTGTAACAAATTATGGCTAAAATGGAAATCACTAGGAATCTCAAACAACTTGATTATGCTCATGTGAAAACTTCTACCTAGACCAGGAAGCTGTTGTCCTGACAGAGCAAGGGAACATTGCATGGTTTGAAATTGAGAAAGGTGTGTGTTAATGCTGTATCATTTCTCTATATCTATTCAGTCTGCATGCTAAACAAGTAATTAGAAAAACTGTACTTTATGAAAAAGAATGTGGCATCAGGATGAGATAAAAGCTCATAAATAGCCTGTGTTATACAGAATACACAACATTGCTAAAAACGAGGTGGACTTAAAACTTGCTGCAGAAGAACAAAGACTATAGCCTTTAATATGGATTATATCTCAACATCAAGAAAACAAAACTCCTCACCACTGTGTCAATAGGCAACCTCATGACAGATGGAGAAAAGATAGAAATTGTCAGTGATTTCACCTTTATTAGATCCACAATCAACATCTTTGGTACCAACCGTCAAGAAATCAAAATATGTAATGCATTGGGGAAGTCTGCTGTCAAGGACCTCTCCATAATTCTTATGAGCATTGATGTCAGCTTGAAGACTAAGGTGTGCCTGATTCAGGCCATGGTCTTTTTCATCACGTGCTATGCATCTGAGAGCTTGACAGTGAATAAGGATGGCAGAAGGAAAAGCGATGCCTTTGAGCTGTGGTGTTGGAGAAGGAGACTGAATATCCCTGTGTCTTGGAGAAGGTCCCACTAGGGCGTTTCTTAGAGGCAAGGATGGAAGAACTTCATCTCATCTACTCATTAAGAGGCCAGTCCTTGGAAGAAGATGCTTAGAGAGTTGGAGGGTCAGAGGAGGAGTGGAAAAGCCTCCATGAGCGGGATCAGCCTGGTGACCGTGGCAGTGAGCTTGAGGATATCCGGGATGGTGAGGGTGACTCAGGATAGGAAAAGGTTTAGATCTGTTGTTCATGGGATTTTTGTGAATTTTATTTGACCCTGGATGTGCTCCCCACGTTTTGCCAATAAACCTGGAGGACAGCTGTTTGGCCAACTCACTGGAAGAAATCTATATTTATTCCCATTTTAAAAAAAAATGACCCGACAGTGTGTGGAAATTCTTAAAAAATGTCACTAATATCACACACAAGCTAGATTTTGCTGAAGATTATCCACAAATGACTGGAACAGGACATCCACAGAGAATTGCCAGATGTGTAAGCTAGGTTTGGAAGAGGCTGTGGCCCTAGGGACATTGTAGCCAACGTTAGATGAATCTTGGCCGAGAGTAGAGAATACCAGAGGAATGTCTGTCTGTGTTTCATTGGCTATGCAAAGGCATTTGACTGTGTGGATCACAAGAAATTGTGACTGACCTTGAGGAAAATGGGAACCCCAGAATATTTAATTGGTGCTCATGTGAAATCTATTCTTGGACCAGGAAGCAGTAGTCAGAGCAGAGCAGGGAAACACTGGATGATTCTGGATCAGGAAAGGTATATGTCAAGGATGCATCCTATCTCCATACCTTTTCAATCTATATTCAGAACAGATCATTCAGGAGGCTGGGGTTTTTGAGAAGGAATGTGGCATCAAGATTGGAGAAAGACTCAACAATGAACTGCATTAAGCAGATGATATAACCATGCTT